TGTTTCACCATTTTTTTTTGTTCAGTGCCCCACCGTTCTAAAATTATTATGACTATCCCCGCCCCTCATGTATCATTTACATATTTTTTAATATTCAGATATCAGGTGGTTCAATGAATAAACTAAAATGATTATTACAACACTTTTAACGAACGCTTATTTCAAATCGAGACTTTAGCAATTCTCCTTTTAAAATACAATTTAAATCATAGTTGGCGGCTGGTTTTCAAATTCTAGACAAGTATTTTTTTAACCCCCCCCCCCTTTAAAAAAAAAAATTCAAATTGTCCCCCTGCAGAGTGTGGGTCCAACATAGAGAAACAGGGGTCAAACATAATCATGATGAACAAGGGAGCAAATGTAAGGCAACATACATCGAAACTTCTCAACTTTGTTATGCTGTGCTACGGTTGGAACCTGCATTCCTAGATCTTACGAAAGAGCATGGTGGCGTATCCGGAAATTTTATCGAAAGAAATTTCGTCGACGGTAAATTGATCGACGGTACAGACGGTAATTTGGTCGAAACGAAATTTGGTGGAATCTTTTTTTCAGTTTTTACGATAAAATTTTGTTTATTTTTTTTTTTTTTAAACAATCTCATTTAGCCCAGTTATCACACATTTTTTTTCTTGAAATCAGCGTCCTTTTATTTTTTCATATTTTTTTCGAAAACCGGAAAAAAAAACTTACTTTTGGGGAATGGGTTGAAATTCGTCGAAGGTAAATTGATCGACGGTACAGACGGTAATTTGGTCGAAACGAAATTTGGTTGAATCTTTTTTTCAGTTTTTACGATAAAATTTTGTTTATTTTTTTTTTTTTTAAACAATCTCATTTAGCCCAGTTATCACACATTTTATTTCTTGAAATCAGCGTCCTTATATTTTTTCATATTTCTTTCGAAAACCGGAAAAAAAAACTTACTTTTGGGGAAGGGGTTGAAAAATTGACAGAGTTCTAAATTGCCATGTGGGCTACTTTAGGAAATGTGTCATACTTAGTTTAGGTTGGCTTTGAATTACCTTGTCACAATAGATCATATTAAAATAAACTTTCGAAATTACCATGTAGTCTTCGTTAGGACATGTTACTTACTGATTGTCCGTTGGTATTGAGTTACCTCCGTCACAATCATCATCATCATGATGTCCCTTAGTCTTTGGACTGTTGGGGCGCCACAGATGATATGTAAACCATCCTCCTCCATTCGTCTCTGTCTTCTGCACGTCTCACAGCATCGCCTAGTTCTAGTCCTGTCCATTCTTTGACGTTGTCTTACCATCTTTTTCTCTGTCTTTCTCTTCTTCTACCTCCTCTCGTTTTGCCCTACAATATTTCTTTGGCGAGCCCCTTTTTCCTTGTCACTAGGCCATACCATCTCAGTTTTTTCGCTTTTGTACATTCACCATGAGGTCATCGTACTTCACATTTGCCTGACGAATCTTTTCTTTTACTTGATCATAGGTATCTATAAAAGATGCCAAGAATACATCTGAAATATCTCATCTCCATCGCCTTTATTTTTCTTACAAGTTCTGATGTTAATGCCCAGGACTCGCACAAAAGAAAATGAAGAGGACAAATTAGCGCATTAGCCTGATTTTTGTGCTTGGAATATATCTTTGGCTTACCATATTTTCTTGAGCGTCATTAGTGCCGTTGTGGTCTGGGCAATTCTGGACTTTATTTCGGGCTTGTAGCCTTCTTCCGAGACTATTGCTCCTAGGTACTTGACGTTGCCTACTGTCTCAAATCGTTCCTCCCCGACCTAATTTTAAAATTTGTTTTTTGATCATGCATGTCATTGTCAGCGTCAAACAACTTGACAGACTTTGTCTGAGTTGTCATTGCTGACGAGGGTAGAAATTTTTGTGTAGAAACCTCTAGATTTTTTTCATAGTGTGAGAATATTAAACAAAAACAAACACATTAAATTGATCATGATGGATTTGAGATGATTCTACTATTCATTGCCCTACAAATTGAGGAGCACAAAACAATTTGAAACAATTCGAATGTGCGCAGCTGACGTCATTTGAAGACATTGGGGCGGAATGTTTATTCTTCTTTTTTTCTTTTACAACCATTAAGGGTAGTAGATATACTTAATATTGTAATTTTTAATAACTTAGCTACCACCCTTGCTTTCAGAGTATATCACCTATTTACCCAACCTATCACCTAGCTCTGTTAACCTGGTCTTTGCCCATTCGGTCTGCTCGCACTCGGCTATTTCATTAGTCATCTCCCTTTAATCTTTAGCCGATTATTTTATTAGCACGGAATACAATTTTGTATGTTTCTAATTTTTATAGTTTTTTTCCCGCTTTAAAATGTCGTATATTTTCAACAAAGATAGCGGGGCTATGACAAGGTCTTAATTTTACTTGATTTCTCACCAGCGATGGTCAATAGTTCATCATGAATGGTTATCAAAACATAATTTGGTTTTAGCATAGAATTTTAGTACCTGTTTTTTTTTTCTTTTCAGTCACACTACAATGTAACATTCTAAAAAGTAGATATAAAAATATTATATCAATAAATATTTTCTAAAATGGTTTATATAATAATACAAATTAATAACTTTTTTAAAAAAATGTATTAAATAATAAAATGCCAATATATATTTTCTTTAAAATTTATATTATAATATAAAATCAATAGATATTTTCTTAGATATTAAATAATACTGAAATATCAATAAATAGTTTCTAAAAAAGTTCATATAGAAATATAAATTAATAACTATTTTCTAAAAAGTATATTAAATAATAAAATACCAATAACTATCATCTAAAAAATTTATATTATAATACAAAATTAATAAATATTTTCTAAGATGATTTTGGCAGATAGGAATGGAAAAAGATTCCATGCACTCGACATCATTTTCTACAGAAGAATGACTGTTTGAATGGACGGTAATTTCATTTCGGACTAGTCAATTCTACTGCCAAATTCTCCAGATTTATGAGGATAATGCTCACACGAATGCTGAACGTTGTACATTTTGTATTTTGCGTACACACAAAAGACATGAAAACACATGTAGAAACACTGAAACAAGTATTAGAGAGGTTAAAAAAAAACACGGTGTAACCATAGCAAAAAATAAACTGAAATTTGCTCAACAACAAATAGATTTTTTAAAGATTTAGAGTCGGTAAGAAAACCATCCAACCAACAGAACAAAACAAAGAAAAAATACTGAAAATGAAAATCCCACATAACTCAAAAAAAAGTTAAAGACATAGTAGGTCTATGAAACTTCTACAGTACATTTTTATCTAAGTTTTCAGACATAATATTGTCTTTATGAAACTTAATAAACAAAAACAACAAGAAACAAATAGTCTTGTCAAATGATTGTGAGACGCCAGTAAGAACGACCAAAGAAATCTTTCAAAGTGAAAACATACTAGTATAACCCCCCTTTAATCAACTTTTCACACTAGTATCTGATGCATCAAATAATGGATTAGGAGCTTGCCTCATGCAAGAATTAAAAAAAAAACAACTCAGATCAATTATTTATTTAAGTAGATCATTAAACAAAACTAAAATCAACAATTCTACTATTGAAAAAGAATGTCCAGCCTTCGTGTGGGTACTAACAAAATGACATAAGTACATAGTAGGTAGACAATTTAATCTTTTTACAGATCAGAAAACATTTATGGCATTAAACGAAAAGAGAATAGCAAATAACAAGATTAACAGAGTGTCGTTGATACTCCTAGATTACCCATATGAGATTAAAAACAATAAAATGCAAAGATAACATTGTTGCTGATTTTCCTCCAGACAATGACAGAGACATTGAACTGAAACATATCAGTCAATTTTTTTTTTTTAAAGATCACATTAACTGAACAATAAAACATGAATTATTTGGTCTTATTGTTTTTATGACACATTCATAAGTCATTCTTTCATGGCTGGAAAGACAGTAACTATTTTAACATGTGTTATTTGTTCAAAGAAACATTAATAACGATTGATGAACATTTGAGGAATCATTTTAAGCATAGAGAATAATTTAGATATTTGATCAATGAATGATATTTATTGTATTATAACTGATGTCTAACATGAATACTGAGTCATTCAAAGACTTTGTCATAAGAGTAGTTAAAATTTTAATCATTTGTACATTCAGTTTTACATTTAATGATTAAAATAAATACCATGCAAGAAAGATGATAACTTAGATGGACATTATCATTCTACACTACAATTATTCCATGCAAAATTCTTTCTAAAAAATGTATTGCACAAAATGTTTTTTGCATGGGTAGGGCGTGTAACAGAAAAAGTCAACCAGGATTTTTCACAAGACCCTAACATTTATTCACGCATCACAATGGCGTAGTGATGTAATGAGAACGATGTAAACACACGAGAAAAGCGGGACCTAGTTTTTATAGCGGTAGAAGAATTTTTGTTTTAAGTAGAGCTAGAGAAGGTACGGTTTTATTTTGAAAAGGTGACAGACATACATTTTAATCGAATGGATTATTGAATTACAATCAGACGGAATCGTATTACCTGTGTATTTTTATTCTTTGCATTATATGATTGTTACAAGGGTAATTTAAAGGCAAGTATTTACTATTTGACTTATCTACTGTATGTAATAAAGTACTGTTTGAATTATACAATTGGACATTGTCAATTCTTGAGAGACAGGAAGAGATAACTGCACTCGAACTTGACTGCACACACCACTTAGTCCGAAACAGAGACGTGTACACATAACCAAATATCGCATTTTTTTTAAAAAATCTGTAAACAATTGATTTATATTAATTAATTTATGCTTATGTAAGCATTCAATTATATTTATGTGTAATGGCAAGAACAGAGGAAAAATATATGTGCAATGGACAGAAATCTTTAATTGTTCTTATTTTTAAAAAAAAATTAATCTTACTCTTTACACAAGTTAAATACTCCACACTATTGGCGTCTGATATTTTGTTCGCTGAGGTCGGTCAGTCTCCGACAGCTATCCATCCTGGTGGATAATAATCTGGTATGTGAACGTTCCCCCTTAAGATAGATCTAGCGACAAAATATCCGTCGTAGTAAATGGAAATGCCATCAGCCAGCCAGGCTGCCCACCAGCCGTAGGTCCCGCTGGATAATATCACGTGATCACAATTGGCTAGGACACCAAAGTGCAGTTCGGCTGAACCGGGCTCCAGTATTTTGACGTCTGTAAAATTTAAATTTTCATGACACCATGCCAGGTCATCGCTTGTCACAACAAAGGTCACGTTCCTATCGTTCAGCATCGACCTCATTCTGTGAAATGCGTTTATGAAATACGACACCTTCGGGACGCCAAATCCAAGTTTTTTATTAAAGTCTGTTAGGAAATCACCCCGTCTGGCGTGTACGCCCACGATGACATGACCTTTGAACTCTGCTCTAACCTTGCCCAACGTCTCATTGATCTGTCTCTGTAAAGGCGCGCAGAAGGTGAACTCTCTCCTAACCTCGTCCTCGATGGTCTCGAAATATCTAAAGACTTCCCGTGACCCGTTCAATGTTATGTTTTCTCTTGGCAGATTCCACAGACTAGGGTACAATATTCCAAAAGTTAAGTGTATCATCTCGCGGAATCTGTGGGATGGTGGACAATATTGTATTATATTTGAGAGTTGCAGCCAATGGCGGGAAAGTGGCATATTAATTTATTTTATCCTTAAAGACTTTCTTTTTAAACTCTTGGCAAACTTGTCGCTTTGTCTGTTGGCCAGTTTGTCTGTTAGTCTTTTTGGTCTGTTGCCAGTTTGTCTATTGGTCGTTTTTATTATATTATTTTTTTAAACGCGTGATTCTTTTCTCTTATTTGAAACTTCTCGTCCCATTTGAGTTGTGTAAAACATCGCGTCAGCTTCGTTCAATGAACGACGGTGGTGCACTAATGAGAACTTTAGGATTTTTGGGATTAAAATAAAAATAATATAATGCTTCTCTTGACGATACCATTCAAATTTTGATTTTAATCAAAAAAGAAGCCAATAGAATCTAACAGAAAATACTTAAAATTAAAAAAAAACAAAACATATTTAAGATTTGTCTGCATTCAATTCAATCCTTTGGCTTAATTAAGCGCTCATTTACACTTCTGCGCAGTCTTTCTTTGTGTTATGCATTAGACATATACTTTATTTTTAATGCCATGTTATGGTATATATTCAGAACTGCAGATGTAGTATCAACGAATGTACGTCCCCTTTCAAGTTGTTTCACCAGAGGACGCAGATTATTGTAAACCATGATGTTCAAATAAAAAGGTTATTGTTTACATATTCTCTCACGTTTTTAAAAACTTATGATAAGTTATTTGGTTATAATGTATTCGGTTTCGAATTAAAATAAAAAAAAAAAAAACGATGAATAAATATCTAACAATAAATTAACACGTAAAATGAGTGTCAAGTGTACGAGAATCACTGTTTGGTATGGAAAAAATATTTAGTGTAAAAATTATATATGTAGCTGTACATATTATGTGAGATAGTTGAGTAAAGGGAAATGACGTGTTGTTCTGATGTGGTTATGTGGAAAAGGATGACGGTGGTATCATGGTAATTGTGAGGCTTGTTTTCTGTGTTGAGGATTTCGGCTTGATGTATCATTAGAGGAAGTCATTTGATTGTTTAACGAATGGGATTTTGAGTACAGAATCCATTACTCCGTCATGTTGCGATGATGTACAATAAACTTATAGCGTGGGGATAAAAAAAGATATTCAGTGTTTGGTGTGTTGGTATCAGCTGCATTAGTCCGTGGGACGAAGTGAGAGACAATACAATCCAATAAGTAAGCATCTGATATCAAAGGTTGGATGAATACTAGACAATAGGATCTACATCTTGTCAGACAGAATATCAACAGTGTTAAAACTGTAAAGATGTTCAACTTATTATTTGAAAAAATGCTTTTTTTTTTACACTAAGTTCTCTTATATGAAATAAACAAGTTATGATACAATTTATTTAATAAATGCTGATAGTACAATCAAATTCAACAAGATTGGTAGCCTTACACTGTATTGAAGAACTTTCTAACTGCAGTAGATAAAATCCAATCATAGATTGCGTAGAAATAATTTAACTTACCTAACGATTATGAAACTTATTTATTATAAATTATCTTCTTTTTTTTTTTTCTTAAATATTAAAAGCAACAATCCATACGCACCCTTCTGCGCTGATGCTGTCATGAACATGTGTGATCTGGAAAACATGGTCCAGGTGTGTCCCTGAGTGGATGAATGGAATTCTGTTCTGCGCCCTGGCCAACCCAAGCAATGACGCGTACATAAACATATGGTTGCCTAGGCGACTGTGAAAGATTGTTGTGAGATATAACGGTCCTGTGTCACTTATGTTTAAAGTAGTGGTCTCTGGTTGGCTCGACTGGGTCGTGTTATTATTGGAGGAAGTTGCGTTGTGCAAATAAGACTTTAAATTTAAAGTGATGGATAACGAATCTTGTGTAGACGAATATCCGTCTGCTGCCTGCCGCACTCCGGTGACTGACCTGAACAAATGAACACCAAGCCAGCTGAAAGGAAGTTGGCAAACCTTGTTTTTTAAGATTAGCAGAAATCATGCAGTCAAATAATCAATCATTAAGTCATGTCATAAAATTAGACGCCCCATCCAAATAATTTAAACGGTTTTTTGTTTTGTTTACTTTTTTGTTGTTAAACAAGTTTAAACTCATGTCATTTTTGTAAATTATTGAGGCCATTAGATTACATTACGAAACAATTGAATACATTTCTTAAGGCATGAAATCAACATATAGAACAGAATACTCTACCACTCTTGACTTACGTAGGTGAGACACACATGTAGACTGCTATTAAAAGTGCGACCGTTGCCGCCAACTTGAGCAGGCGTGATCTCATCCGCCCAGCTAGACATTTCCTGAGGCTTGACCTGCAACTCGAGAATGCACTTTTTTTTTAATGACAAAGTACACGCCATGACATGCAGTAGTTTTCAGGTTGTGGTAAGATGAATGTTTGGTCAAGATTTTTGGAGAAAAAAAAATTAGTTAGACCTAAAAATAAAGCTGTTGGTATAAATCCTTTATCAAATCTGATATCGAGCAATGGTTGGTGGGTCTGACAATTTGACAAAAGATGCATGCAAGCAATGGTTGGTGGGGCTGACAATTTGACAAAAGATGCATGCAAGCAATGGTTGGTGGGGCTGACAATTTAACAAAAGATGCATGCAGGCAATGGTTGGTGGGTCTGACAATTTGACAAAAGATGCATGCAAGCAATGGTTGGTGGGGCTGACAATTTGACAAAAGATGCATGCAAGCAATGGTTGGTGGGGCTGACAATTTGACAAAAGATGCATGCAAGCAATGGTTGGTGGGGCTGACAATTTGACAAAAGATGCATGCAAGCAATGGTTGGTGGGGCTGACAATTTGACAAAAGATGCATGCAAGCAATGGTTGGTGGGGCTGACAATTTGACAAAAGATGCATGCAAGCAATGGTTGGTG